TAAAATATTATGATTTTTAAAACAAAAAAAAAAAAGAGATTACTTTAATTATTTTTAACATCTTATTAAAATAAAATAATTTTAAGTATTTTTTAAGCTAATATTTCTCATATCTAACTAACAAATATTAATCTTTAAATTCCTATTTAGGTCCCAATTAGAGACAAAGAGAAATTACCACAAAACTTTGAAATTGTTATCAAGAAATTGTTGAAAAGTGGAAGACGTGAATATAATAGAGCCAAATGTTAAGGGTAAGAGCCCATATCCCTTGCTAACAACAGTACTTTTTCCAAGTCACCAAATATCCATTCGTGGGGAATTACTCTCTTCTCATTTGAGGCCCCTACCAACAATTCAGATGTTGAGAGAGAGATGGAAGGGTGAAGTGTTGATGTCAGAAGACAAGGAATCATAATGAGGACAAGTGTGCTACAGAGAGAGAGTAAAACTGCACCATGTGCTCAAACTGTTTTTCATATGCATTTTGTCCTCTTGCTCTTCCTCTTTGGGTCCCCTCCCCCTCCCCTATTCCTTTGTCCACTTTCTTTTAGGGGGACCCCTTGTTCTCCTTTGTAGGTTGGACTCTTTTGACGAACTCAAAAGTGGGTTCCTTTGCTTAGTCCTCTTCCTTCTCCTTTTTCCATTTGAAATTATCATTTCCTTTTCCATCATCATAATCCACCCATAATAATGCCACATTAAGGAAGCAATTTTGGGTTGGATTGGCCTAATTTTTATCCCAATTCAAAATTACACTAATCCAAACCCAAACATTAGGCTTCATGGCGTCATGGAAATGGGTGGATGTTCCTAAATAGACCATAAAATGGAAACAAAATCAATGAAGGTTTTGACAATAATAAGATGGATGTATTCAAACTTTTAAATTTCAATATTTTAGGTATTTTCAATTACGTTTATTTTGCTCATCTTCATTATAACTACTAAAGTAGACAAAAAATGATTATAAATTCTAACAATTTTAATTATGTTTTATTAAAATAAAAATAATATAATTATAATATTATATAGTATTT